TGAGGGGGGGGGGAGAAAGAGAGAGCAAAGAGAAATCGAGAAAGAAGAGTAAGATATTGAATATACATGTACATGTAATTTACACTTCAAAGGGCATAGCATAGTATAGTTTAGAATACCTAGTGATTAAAATTTATGAGATAGAAATTTTATGTATGCCCTACACCCTTAATTTAAACAATAACTAAAATATATTTAATTGTTTTTCCAACACTCAGTCAAGATGACGGCAAACTAGATCGACATGAATTGCATAAGACCCTGTATGGTTGAAATTTCAATATTTTTATTTTCTTCTTTTTATATAATTTACCTGTTTGTGGACAGCGTACATCACAACTGCACGCTGACATTGTTCCCAGTCAGCCTTGACACGTCATGCCTGGAACACGCTGTCCATTATGATGTCCTCAATTTTTTTTTTCTTTGTATGAGTATGAGTGACTACATACCTCAGTTTATTGTTATCAGTCATTAAAAAAATCCCCGTCGGAGCTGGGGCGGTTGTTGTTGTTTTTTTAACACCTGGTCAATATAAAAGAAAGTTACATCACCGGTGTCGGGGACAACTGGACAGCGAGACGCGTTAAAGATCCCTTGGAGGTCTAAAAAAATCGATAAGAGTAGGCTTCGGCCGCCACCCAGACAAAATTCAAAATTTCCTACCAACTGAAAATGTTTAATGTGTCCCGCGCACTCATAATATCATCATACTCATATGACTTTGTGCAGTTGCGAGCGCCGTAAAAGACTTATCCCCCCCCCCCCAAAAAAAAAAGACCCCGTATAGTTGAAGTTTTAATATTTCCATTTTCTTTTGTTTGTGGGTAGCGTAGATCTACACCACAACTACACGCTAACGTTGTCAGATCCTTTGTTCCCAGTCAGCCTTGACACGATTTCTCCTTGAACACGCTGTCCTCAAACTTTTTTTTCTTAGTATGAATAAGTCGACCCTCGTGACTACACACCTCAGTTTATTGTTATCAGTCATAAAAGAAATCCCCGAGGGAGCTGGGGCCGTTTGTTTTTTTTTAACACCTGGTCAATATCAAAGAAAGTTACATCACCAGTGTCGGGGACAACTGGACAGCGAGACGCGGCCCCTTTGTTGGTACCGATCTGGCGTAATCTGGCCACACGCCGGAGGGTTTTTTTCTTGAATTGCTACAAAGTTCGAAATCTCAACAAAAGAAAAATTATAACAACAACAATTAATTACACCCCTCCTCAGGGTCATTGTTCCGTCTCTTTTAAAAGATTGACAGCCAGACTTGACTTTTAATCCAGTCAAAACCTTGGGTTCGATTCCCGCCAAAAAATTACGCTCAGTTTGTCATCATATAAAAACTTTGGCAAAACGTTTGGCCGCATTATTTTTTTTTCATTTCGTTCTCGAATGTAGAGTGCATGTTATTGCTTTATGTTGCTGTTCCTCTGGGCCTTACATTGACATCACTATACCCACCAAGTGTGACAGTTTCTGTTTAAGACTTGAGAGTTTTCATCTCTTCTTGGCGATATTTCTTACACAAGCAGCCAGTTTCTGTTGGGGTCCGAGTATTTCCTCATTGCAAGTACATGTAGTCACCATGAGTTCAGAGCAGCTTATGGAGTTTACGTGTCTTATCAAGATGGAAAAGGAGAACGATGTGTTCAACTACTACCACATCCATCATGTGTCCATCTTACACCAAGGACAACGCAGCAAGGTTCTCATGGGAGTGAGCAACATCACCCCCGACAAGAAATTCGCAATCAAGCTGATGCCTCTTCACCATGCTAAGGACACTAATCGCTTCGCCCACGAGCTGCGTATGATGAACCACCTTGCTGACATACCCGGAGTTGTGCCTTTGTTGACTCCTTTTATCTCCGGTCACACCGGCTATCTAGTCATGCCGTACTACGGGAAGGGAGACCTGCTCTCACAAATAGGGAACTTCAACGACTACAGCTGGTTCAAAGTACTTGTCAATGTAAGTTTTGTTGATTTCCTTCCAAACCCAATGTGCCATGTTTCTATAATTTTTATTCTTGTTGATATACATACTATAGCATGATATGTATAACGTTGCAGACAGGTTAAAGGGTCATAAAATCATCACAATACAATGAGCCTTTATCTACGTCATTATCCTTGTGTTTATACTTGCACACACACACACACACACACACACACACACACACACACACATTATTACACATACATACACACATAATACATACCGGTACATATACACAGAAACATAGACACATGACACACACACACATGCACGTACTTTCACACATACATAGGCCTACACAGAAACACACACAAATGTACATATACACACACAGAAATACATACACATATATACATGTACACACAGAAATACACACAAAGAAACATACATACAAACACAAATGCAGACTTGTTCCATTCTCTCTCACTCCCCTCCCTCAACCCCC